AATGAACAATTATAAATATGGGTGTCATTAACATTGAAAACAGTAACATTTATTTTCCTACTCCAAAAATTCCTGTCTGAATAACGCAGATTCTCTTTAAAGACAGTAACAAAACAAAGCAGCAATAAAAGAAGCACAGAAAGTAAATGTGGACAAAATTATTTCATATAAAGTACATAACTATGATCCTTTACCACCTAAATCTATTTTGCTTGGCTCTTTCTCCAGGAAGTCTTGAGTCCAAAAAGTAAGATAAAATTGCCTCACAAGACAATACAGTCTAGAATGATAAGTCTAAAGGACAGAAAAAAGACATGCTTAGAGAACTTAGCATATAACATGTCCAAATATAACTTAAACAAGGAAAGGGACTAAACAGAGCTGACATGCATTAAATCTATGAACTACCGTTCAAAAACATTACTGAAAATGAACAAATCTGAGTGAGAGAAATTAGGGTCCACAATTCATTATAAATTTATATTTCAAATATGTAAAAACTGCGACTCAATGAGAAACACAGAAAATAGGAGAGTGTGCAAAAGAGATAAACAGGCTCCTTGCAAGAGAAACAACCAAACAGCCAGTATATGAAAAAAGTAATCTACTTCATTAGCTCTTAAGAGATTATAAATTACAGATATAATGATTTCATAGCCACTAGAACTTGAAAAGTGAAAAGTGTCTCTATCTTTTTCAATCCCTAGAAAATGTGTGTTGTACCTGGAGTCCTCATACAGGGTGTGAACCAGCACCTATCTCAGAAGAATGGCAAACTGCTCAAACTTTGATATGCATTTACACAAGCTATTTCACTTCCAGATACACCAACAAAGAAATATGTACATGTATGTACACACACGATACACTCTAACATGTTCATAGTGACAATACATGAAAATTCCCCAAATATCTACTAATGATGAAATGCGCAACAATTGTTCATATACTGGTATATACAATAAAAAATAAACCATAAGCTAGACAAATCTCATGACATAACAGTGAACAATGGAAAGTAGACACAAAGCTATACAGTATAAGTATCAATATACGAGTGTATATATTATAATATATAACAAATGACCCCTGCTACGAAAGTCAGAAAGTCAGGTGAGTGGTTATCCTTGTATAGGAAGGGAAGGTGACCAGCAGGTGCCATAGAGGGATCTTATACAATGATTACAAAATGTCTTTTCTTGTATCTGCATGCCGGTAATATGGGTGAATCTGGCGTGTAAAACACTCATTAAGCCATTTCCTTCTAATACATTCTTTTCTTTTAAAAAGGCAGGGTTACATCACCTCTCACCTACCATCCTCTCTATTCAGGCTTTCTTGTTCCCCTTGAAAGCCTAACTCAGTTAACCCTCCAGGTAATAAAACTCAAATAAATTAATTTCCCTTAATGTATAAATGGGTCACTAAAGCTTTACATGGTATTGGCACAAAAAAGGGAAGAGTTATACCAAATATATAACCAGAAAAATGTAGTCAAATCTGTGGCATAAAAAACGATGGAACTGCTCTATATATTTCTATATGAGCAAACGAGGGCTCCATAGTCATTTGAAGAGTCAAACTTTGAAGTGTACTGTTGAAATTAAGTTCTGGCTCTCAACAAAGAAGCCTACGTCATCTGTGCTTTTGTCTTCCCTGACTCCCAACATCCTCAGAGATGTGCTGTCTTTACACTAGGGACAACTGTTGTTGCTACTGCAACAGCTTTGGAAATAATCACAGAACTGAAAACTAGCTCTTATGTCAGAAATTAAAAGAGATGGATGATAAAGCAGCATGAGGAATGTCTGGCACTGTCCCCTTTGTACTCAGAGTTGATAAACACTTTGTCAATCATGAAAGATTCCTTAAAATTTATAAAGGAATAAAGTTAGGTAACATAGCTTACTTTTTAATACCAATGCTATATAAAGTAATGAAATTCAATAATGTGGCATAATATACCAAATTATTTATTGTATACCATCTACTTTAATATTTTCCCTTTTACATTGGAATCGATGTATGATTTGTATATTTTTCTCACACTGAGATGTTTTAAAAACCCACAATGAATGCAGAAATACACAAAAGAAAAATTCTTTACTTAAAACTAGTATCCACTATGGCTGCTTTTTGGAAGATAAACTATGAATGGGAACATTAATGTTTTGGGAGCTTTTGACACTACCTATAAGGTAGTCCTTGGTTAATAGCCAAATATCTGGGAATTTCTACAAGTCAATTATGCAAATTCATATCTAAATAACTTAATACATTCAATATAATTTCCTAATTTCACTTTACTATGTTCAAGAGCAACAAATAGATGGGCTGGGCTAGTTTCTGCTCCAAATTGCTCTATACCTTTAAAATTTTTATTCTGTTTGCAGTACCCCACTGAACACAGAGCCCCACTTCAAGACCTGCCTAAAGCAGAGCCGCTATAATATGCAAGTAGGTGGTGGAGAGATGGAAGAGAAAGAGAAGCAGAAGAATTTTAGCACTGCAAAGAGGCAGAACTGGAGACATGACGGTAGCCTTCCTGCCACCCTAAGCCATGGTGAAATCCAGCCATGCTGCTGCTGAGGGCCATGTATGGGTCCTTGGCCATGCAGCAGCAGGGGTGTCTCATACTACCATCAAAAACCATGCAGACATCTCCGGTCTGGGACTCCCGCCTGGGGCCACACTGATGCCCAAGGGCTGCATATAGCTGGCCCCGCACCTCACTAACTCTAGCACTTATGAGAGCTGGCCCCAGCCCGTAAGCTACACCGAACAACAGTGGCCCTAGTGGCATGGATAAGGGTGAGCCAGGCCCAAGGGCATGAGAGCTGTTTCTGCCCTTGCTGGCTGCAGCATTGGAGAGCTAGCCAGGGAAGTGCTGGAATGCTAGTCCTGGTGGTAGGGGTGCAGGAGAGCTGGCAGGTTGACCAACTCAGCTACTACCCAGGCCCAGATCCAGGGATTTGGGTTGGCCCACCCTAACACCTACTCAATGTATGAACTGTTGGGGTGCTTGAGGGGCAGGTCCTGCAGATCCAAAACTGCAGGATCTCCATGACACAGGACCACAGAATATGTGAGAAGTCCCAGTGAGGATCCAGTGTTAAGAGTATAGCAGATGCCAGAGGCCTCAAACAAGGCCAAAGACGGGTTGAAATGAACATTTGCAAGTAAAGATGTGTGGACAAAAGGGTATACTGTGTGACATATGTAACACTAACACACCATAGCTTCCAAAGAGATTTTTGTTTTGTATTTTTTTTTTTTTTTTAATTCTGTGGGAAAGGTTGCAAAGGCTGAGAGTGGATATGAAGGGACAGGGAGATGAGTGAGATTGGGGTGCATGAGGTGAAATTCACAAAGAATCAATAAAAAGTAAAAAAGAAAGTTGAATGAAATAGATACCATTTTAAAAGGAAAAGAGGCAACATATAAACATATTGCTTACGAACATGCATGAAAACTAAAAATCACACAATAATAAGTAGTTAAAACAAAAGGTAGACTGTTGCCTCTAAAGAAAAGGGAGACTAAGCTGGACATGGTAAAATATAGCCGAAAGTCTCAGGATGTTTGAGTCCAGGACTGCGAAGTCATCAACAGTTAAGACTCCATTAGAATCTGTAGTTAGAGAAGGACGGAGAAGGGGAGAGAGAGAGAGAGAGAGAGAGAGAGAGGAAGGGGGAGGGAAGGAAGAGAACTGAGCTGTGTGGAGGGATGCTAGTGACGCTCGAGATATATGGTGCTTTGGGGTTTGTTTTATATACAGACACTTCACAATTACTCCATATACTTGCCTGTTTCTGTATAGCCTTACATTATACAATGCAAAGTTCTAACTCACATTCTTGTTGAGGAAGAAAAGGTTCATTCTCTTGTTAACAATTCACATTCTTTGTCTGCATTTATAATTTTTATAGCAGTATTTTAAAACAAAGAACTGTTACTATGCAAAATTCTTCATAATTCCAATTAAGTATAGATTTCACGTTTTATAACAACTATAAAAATATAGGCGACCTTGAAAGAACAAAAGTTCAATTGTTCTGTCTTACTTTGCTTATGTATTTAATGTTATTTTTGCCCCTTTTCTTCTTTTCAAACAAAAATATGTATACTTATTTTAAAAATTCCAGATTAGAACCAGGTAACTGTGCAGATCCTACTCCCAAAACCTAAGACTATTTTAACTTGAAGGTAAGAAGAAGCATAGTTTCTTTCTTCTCTCCTATGCTCTAAACCAATTTTACAAGTATTGTATACGTGTGTTACGCGTCCGTGACAGTTTAGTTGCTGATACACTATCTGAAGTCTGAACCACTGTCAATCTGTGTAAGTATCCTCCCTATCTGCCAGCAAACATGGCCACTGGAATAGAGTAGAGATCAAGGTAAGAAACGTTTAAAAACATAAACGCTTACAGTACATAAATGCTTAAAGACATAAACGCTTAAAGTACAGAAAACATAAAACACAGGTTGCTCATTCAAAATAGATCCAATATGATCTAATTTAAATTACACTGAAGCAGTTTCAACTATTACAGAAATGAGTTTTGTCTCTATAATAACATACGGAAGTAAAATTGTTATAACAGGTATAATTACTATAGTAGTATATTGACTTACATTACAAAACAAGCACACACAATTAAGAAAGTCATTTAAGGCCCACACTGACAGATATTCCTGGATATGTTTTTATAACTTTTAGCTACAACCAACAAATAAGGAAACAAGAGAGCATCAGCCTTCTCACCAGACTGCAGCAGATTATCAACATGGTGGCAAGGGTATAACACTATTTTGCGGATAGCTTTTGTGAATGTAACAAGGATCCCTGGGCAGTTCTCTGCTCACCTATTTAGTGCCCCCTTTAGAAAGTCACATTTTGTCCAGCAGGGAGCAGCCTTACAACAGCCAGAGGACTTAAGTTAAACTCAAAACCCACAGAATAAAATGGGGAGTTTTGTTTTGTAAAAGTCTACTTACCTTAGGTCTGTTCTACAATTCACTCAACTTTCGGGTAGGTTTCAAGGAAAACCTGGATATAAAGCAGGTCTCAAAGCGCATGAAAATCATCCATGGTTGTGGACTCCTAAAGCAGTAAATCAAAGTTGCATTATGTGAAAGCTTCTCTGACCAATGCTGGCTAAATTAATGTATGGGGAGAGTAGATATTTCTCAGTGGACTGTGTCTTCCTTTTGGTGGGGCAGTAAGAGTCTTGAATTTAGATATTCAATAGCATTGGACCTTTATTAAATGAGACTACTAAAGTCTTTTATCTGAAAGAGAATTTAAGAAGGAAGAAACTAGAAGACCTAACACGTTATATAAAAATCTCAGAAGCTCTGTGGTCAAAGAGTTAAGGAAGTTGATAAGGCAGCCATCCACACTTTCAATTCTTCAAGTTAACATGCATATCTAATGACAATATATATATATTTTTGAGACAGGGTCTCTCTACATAGTCTACATAGACCATATTGACCTCGAACTCACAGAGATTTTCCTGCCCCCAGAGTGCTGAGATTCAAGACCATGAGACACCATGCCCAGCTAATTTTAAAACTGAAAATAAAAAAAATAAGTTTATAATGCTGTTATAAAAAACTGATTAATCATTTAATGAGTAAAAGTGTACATGAAACGATAGAAAAAAATATTACCAATTGAAAAGCAAAATATTTTAATGTTAAAACCTATCATATAGTTAGCTATGAGTCTACATCAGTTCTTATGACTTCAAGACGCAAGTAATTTTGTCTAGACTCCTATGTGAAATAGTAAAGTTTGCTTTCTATATGTTTTCATATTGCTTCTTAGAGTTCACAGCAAATAACCATTTCTGCTTTAAAAATAAGATGCTTATCCATCTTCAAATACCTAGAATTTGGAGAGATTTTATGTAAAAGTCTGCTTAAATATATTCATTCATCTATTTATCTTATTTATTCATCTTATTATATTGCAAGTTTCAAATGCACTTATATTTATGCTACTCATATAAGTACTATCTTAGTTATGTAAGCACTTGACCCCTCCCTTAACATTTTAGAGTCAATAGCCAAACACCTAAATTCCATTTCACTCTTGTTCCAATCAGTTAAAGACTGTCACTACTTTAATAAAGACGTGGATTAAGATCTTGTTATACAGATGTATGTGTGTCTGTATATATATATATATATATATATATATATATATACAGACACACTAAGCAACAAACTTCAACAGAACTTTAGTGTTACTAATATGTACATGCACACATATACAATAACCTTATCAACTTCTACTATGAACTTTGAAAAGAAAGTAATTTAACACTCTCTAGTACTAATATTAACAGGGAGGGTATTAGTGTGTTATATAATATATATTTATTGGGAGCAGACTGCATGCCTGTCATCATATCCATAGATAGAGAAGTCAGATGGCAGCTCGCTCAAACTGGTTCTCTCTTTCTAACATGTGGCCTTACAGGTGGAACTCAGGTCATCAGTCTTGGCAGCAAGCAACTGTAATCATGGAGAAATCTTATCAATCCATGAAATAAGTGTATCAATCAAGTATTCATAAGGTTTTTTTGTAAATACATTACACAAAAGTTTACATTGTAGATGAATATTAATCCAAAAGAGACTTCAGTGGGTTGAGTAATGTCCTACTTCCCAAATTAAAATCTACTTTGAACCATAGTACACGATCATATATTATTTGCGATGTAATTAAGGTACGTGTCAACATGAAATGATTATACTAGATTAAGGAGGTAATAAATCTGATGAGAGTGTCCCAATAAAAGGCAAAGAACAGTACAGAGAAGCACGAGAATAGGACATTATGAAACTGGAGGCAAGAGAGTGAGGTTATAGTTTCACAACCAAAAATAGCAAGAGCCAGCAGAAGCCAGAAAGGAAGCGTCGTTTCTTAAATATGAAATGACTATGGCTCTGCTGACATCCTTAACATATTTTTTACTTCTGATGTTCTGAAAAAGTAAGTTTTCTGTGAAGCCACTAAATTAATGCCAGTTTATTATGGCAGTCCTAGGAAATTCTTGTAGATTTTGGCAGCAGGACATGGGTGTTGCCTTAAAGAGATTGTATGAAGAATGCATCTCTCTTCCCAGTATCGTGTCTATAGGAGATTCTAGTTCAAAATTACAAGCTTAATAACACTTCTTTCAAAAAATTGCTCCAGTACAATAGTATATTTTTTTAACTAATGTAAGTAAACACTGAAGACAGTGAGAAGCATGAACATACTAGAGGCTTTGATGGGTTTCTAGAATATAAAGTATATAGAATCATAGAGAAAAGTAAAAAACAGTTTAGCACACAGGCTGACAAAACTATGGTTCATAGGGCAAATTTTCCAGCTGCCATTTACTTTTGTGCCACAACATACAGAAATGCCATACATTGACTTTTAAATGGCTCAATGGAAAAAGACTATGCTGTGACATATAAAAACTATATGAAATTGAATTTCGACTTGTTGCAGAGGTATGCTCAAGCATTAATGGCAGCTCTCGTGGTTTACTCATGGAAGAGGTGGGTAGGTTCAAGTGACTTTATTGTCTGCTAAACCTTAATTAGTTACTATTTGGACTCAGAAAGAAATACCCACTCATGACCAAGCACAAACATAATTTTTCATATTTCTTGCTGTGGCTCCAACTGGTCTTGGTCTTCATTGGGAATGATGAAAGATAATCAAATGAAACAAAATATATTATCTGCCTAAAGGATCAGGGCATCTAAAACATAGAGACTGGTTCACTAGGATAGGGAATTCTTTATTTGCTGTTATAGAAGGAAACCGTCATTTTTACAAAACAACAAGGCTGGGTCTAAGCACAAAGAAAGAACTCAACACTTATTTCAGTAGCTTACAAGTATAAAGAAATGTATGATATGTATTGGTGACATGTTTGAAATGAATGCACGCAACCTTCATCAAGTCTTTCTTGTTGATGTGTTGCTAAACCACAAAGCTTGTTGCTTTGTTTTTTTTTTATTTTCCTGAATATCATTCTCTATTTTGTTTTGTTTTTTTTTTTAATTTGTTTGTTTTGCTTTGTTTTGAGCCATGGTCTTATGGGGCTGATGCTAACTCTGAACAGCTGATTCTCGTTCTCCACCTATTTAGGATTATGGACCCAAGCCTGAATATGAAGCAGGAAGAAAGAAAAGGAGAGAGGTAGGGAGAAAGAAAGGGAAGAAAAGGAAAGGAAATATATACAGTAAATAAAGCTGTTGTGATGATATTCACCTGTCTCAGCACCAGAAGGCAAAGGCAGGCACACTTCTGTGAATTCCAGACCAGCTAGGGCTACGTAGTGAGCCCTGTCTCAAAATGAATGAATGACTCAATCAATCAATACATGTATCATGTGTCATCCATCCACCCATTAATCAATCAATATATGTATCATCCATCCATCCACCCATCCATCAATCAATCCAGGTCTATGTAACATCCTTCACTGTCAGCAGTAATTCAGTGACTCAGGTGTAGACTTGGGACTCATTTTTGGTTCAGTCATTGCTTATCTTGGATGTCCATGAAAATCACTTAACCAACTCCTCCTCGAGTTCTCATTTAAGTAAAACAGTTAAGTCCTCATATAGCTCTGAATTACATAGTTTTTCTCCCACAAATAAAACTCATACTGTAGTAGGAACCCTCTCCATCCAGCTTTCACAATCACCAGAAAAATAAAGTCCAAAAAAAAAAAAAATCTAGTTCTACTCAGATGTAGGGCGAGGGCAACTTCAAGTACTTTTCCGTTATTTGCAGCTGCTTCAGAGAGCGACAATTAAACGTGCGAACAAGGTTGTCAGAGTAACACCTGTCATTCAGAACGCTCAGGAAAAGACTCTCCAAGCTTTCCAGAAACACTAATTAAATTTAAGGAAAGCTTCTCGGGGGGACTTGCCAGCGAGGTCAGACTCTGTCAGGCCGGGGGAGAAAGCACCATGGTACGCCAGGTCCCCAAGGGAAGTCTACTGTCCAACCCGCCCAGCCCTGGGCTCTCACTGCCTGAGCCCAGGCGCTCCCCAGCCACTGAAGCCACCGCTACCTCCTTCCCAGACAGCACAACCACTCCGGAAGACGGGGTCGTGCGCAGGTGGTGGGTGGATGCCTTTCCCTAGAAACCAGCAGGGGAGACGTAAGCTTCAACTCGCAGCAGGCTGAGAAGCCCTGGGGGAGAGGAGGCGAACCGCTTCTCCTCCCGCGTGAACACAGGCACCGACAATGGCCAAGGACGGTACCCACCTGCAGCCGCAAACACCGACAGAAGTTGCTCGCCCGGGACTCCCTCAGGTGGGCCCGGCTCACCTGGGCCGCGTACACCCCTCCGGCTTCACGCACAGCACTTTTCAGCAATAGGCCTTGCGATTGGCTGGCCGGCAAAAAGTCTTTCATTTCTATTGGCCGCTAGTGGCGGGGTGGGCGGGACTTTGGGGGCTGGCTCTGACAGGCCGGCCGCTCGAGTTCCCAGAGTTCCTATTGGGTCGTCGCGGGAGCTTCAAGATGGCGTCCGCAGCCACCCGCGGCGCCGGCGTCCCCGGCTCCGGGTTTGGGGCATCCGAGAGCGGCCGGAGCGGCACCACCAGCTTCCAGAGGAAGGGCAAGGCCTCTGGGGCCTCCGGAGGCGGCCCTCGGCTGCTGTCCATCGCGGGCACGCGACCTTCGGTGCGGAATGGACAACTGCTGGTGTCAACCGGGCTCCCTGCCCTGGACCAGCTTTTAGGTCGGTTCCGAATGAAGATGCGGGCGCATTTCAGGGAGAACTTTGGGGGGGGGGGGACTCCCGGGGCAGCCCCTCATCCTCACGCCCTGCCTGGCCGCGGGCACCCCTCTTCTTGTTCCTCTCTGCCCATCACAAGCGTGGTCAGGAGGAAGGCTCGGGGAGGAAACTTGCGTGGAGGTGTCTTTAAAGCTGTGCGCCAACCCCGCCTTCGGGACCGAACTCCTTACTCCTTACTGGCCAGCACCTCATTTCCAGATGACCATGAACTCCCCTACACGCTTTTACCCTAAAGTGATTCTTCTAATGACAAGGGGAAAGGAATTGACTTGTAGGATCTTCTGCTGGTCTAATCTTAGGACACCCTCCTTCCAACCCTGGGTAGCTTAAAGCTGGGACTAACCTGCAAAACTTTTTAGGGTTGTAAGAGGGCTTCTTTAGAAATGCTGAAAGCATCGCCCATTTTCCACCTCGGGCTACTCTTATCCTTAAACCATAAGTGGTGTTGTCTCATGTTAAAGATGAGTGTTGACGCAAAGTAATGACAAGCCCTTGGTATTCAGATAGTTCTAAGTCCAGAGTGTCTTAAATATGTTCATATATATTATAATCCCTGGATTTTTTTTTTTTTTTATGCGAAGCCTACTTAAGAATATACTTGTTGCATGGAACTGATTTGTTGAAAGGCTTGACTTAGATTAGGTTGGTAGGACGGGTTAAATTTGTCTGAATTCTGCTTAATAAAAACAGATGTGTGTTTACATTTTGCAACCTTTTTTTATAGTGTGTATTATGTGTGCTAAATCTGGTACATTTGCATAATATAGCACAAGTGCCATTGCTTATTCTTGTATTTCGTTTGACATTTTCTCTAGGTTATACTCCAGGCTTTTCAAGTAAGTTTAGGAAAGAGGAAAATCAGAATGGTTTCTTGATTCTGTTATTTCATGTTCTAAATGTTCTTGATTGTTTTCTACATAAATTTATAATAGTTTCAGATAATTGTTTCAAACCCATTGAGTTCTATGAGGATAGAACCATGATTCAAAATGCATAGTTGCCAAATACTTATTTCACTTTTTTCTCTTTTTGGCCGCAGTTAACCTAGTTTTGAACGCAAAGCTTAGGAAATATTGGCTGTCATCCAGACAGAAATTAATCTGTAAGCTTTAGTAACATCAGATCTTTGCTATCAATCTAGAATTTCTTTTCTATTTCTTAATAGAAATTAAATGGGGATAGGTACCTTTATTCAGTTGATACTAATCAAACTCTCCAAACCAAAAGACTGCATTTTCAGTATTGTACCTTCAATACTCATTAAATTCCTTCAATTTAATGCTCTTCAATTCCTCATTAAAGTAGCAAAAATGTGCCTAGACCAGAGCAAGTTCTTAATAAGATCTTCATTGAAAGAAGCAGAAGAAAAGAGACTAAACAAGAAATAGTCAAGTATGAAAAATGGCATTTGACATTTGAGCTCCAAAAGTTGCTTAAGAAATTTAACCGTATAAATAGATAAAACTCCTGACCACACGAGCTGATCTTTGGCTTCAAATTTAGTCATCTCTGAACTTACACCACAGCTGCTGCTAATTTTTTAGGACTATTTTCAAGGAGATTTGACGTTTACTGAACTTAAGATTAAATGTTTACCTATACTCTTCTTCACATCTGCCAAAAAAGAACAGAGGGCATCTTTCATCTGTTTTTCTATTGACATTTGTAAAATGATTGGGCAGTGGAGGATTTTAGTATTTGAGTATAACATATTTATACTAAAAAAAAGTCAAAATAGTATCAGTTGTTGAAATGTGTGTTTTGCATGATTACAGGTGATTTGCAAAGTACATAGAAATTCAGATGGTTGTAATAATAGGATTTACTATATTTGGAATAATAAATACACCCAGATGTATTTCAGTTGTTAACTTCTGAATGACATTTTTATAACTTGATTTCCTGTCTTGTATGTCTTCTGACCCAAAAAATTTATATTTGCTTTTCATTAAAACCTTTGAAAGTGAAACATCTGCTGCTAATGTGTATTCAGATGAGCACAAGAAACTCAGGTTATGTTGTTACTTTTAAAAGTTCTTTGATTCAGTTGTGGCAAGCTTTATATAACCCTACGATGATAGGGGGGGATATTATAAATAAGAGTGCACTGTGACATTTTTATCATATAGCAGGTTAACTTTGTATTATCCCCTCCCTGTGGTACAGTGAAACTTTACTGCTGCCACCTGACAGCAGCATAATTTTAAACGTAATTGCAGATACATTTGAAACCCAGTACATAGACTGATTGAATGTTAGCTATTTCATAATTTATTAGTTCAGTTGCTTACATCAAAACATCTTACAAATTTGAATATTCCCCTTATCTGCATTTTAAAAAACATGATCTAGTCATTTTTGTTCTGATTATTTAATTTTATTGTTGGATTTTCATATACATTCCCCAGCTTGGCAATGTTTAGATTTTACAAGTTTTTTTTTTTTTTAGACTTTCTAAGTCTAGAAGATTTCATTTAAGTTTTATTTTATTCTATTTAGTGTATGTGTGTGGACTTGTGCATATGAGTACAGATGTCCCCAGAGACCAGAAGAGGCTGGAATTACAAGTCGTTGTAAGTGGCCTTATGTAGGTTCTGGGAATGGAGCTTGGATTCTCTACAAAAATATCAAATGCTTTTAACCACTGAGCTACGTATCCAGCCCACTAATCGAAGCTTTCAACTATGTATCTTTCAGAGCATTCATATTATTTGAGGTCACTATAGGTAAAGAACATACAAACTATAAAAGACAAAGAACCCAGCTGAATAGATACTTCAAGAATTTCCAAGAAAAAAAAGGTGGTCAGTCTTCAGAAGTTCTTAAAGGAAACTTGACTTCACAGATTTGGGTGAATTAACCCCTGCCCTGTTTAGTTGTTTATTCAGTGTGGCAGTCAAAGGAATGGTACCTAGGGTTTATGGTAAATAATAGTCCAACAGAATTTCTATGGAGAAGCTTCTTGTGGTGGCCACCATTTCAAAACTGAATTTTAAAAAATAAATACAATTGGCTTGTTTACTACATTGTTGTCTGTAGTGTGGAAGAGTATACATTTAGTTTGGGCTGTGTGTTTGACAGTTTTTATTATATTCTAGGTAGCTATACAGCTAAAGAAAATATTCTATTATGTAAAACTATTTCATATGATTTAATCTCCAGAGCCATCATCCCTATTTATGGCTTTGGTTTCCACATTTGCCCATTCAGCAATTGTGTCTTAATCATAGGCAGGCCAGGTTGCTTGATAACTTAAGGCATAAACACATCAACAGAATCACCACAATTGGACATACATATTTGTTTGTTATTTAAGGACTCACTCTATCTATCTATCTATCTATCTATCTATCTATCTATCTACCTACCTTTCTATCTATCTATCTATCTATCTATCTATCTATCTATCTATCTATCTATTTGATTCAAGCTTTGAATTAAGGTTCATCTACAACCTTAGTGTATCAAGAAAGATATATACAAATATTTTATCAAGAGTATTTTGAAGAGAGATTGTGAGGTTTGGGGTTCATTAAATTTGTTTTGTTTTTGAGACAGAGCCTTAGCCCAGGCTGACTTGGAATTTGTGAGTAAACCAGGATGCTTTTAAACTTGTGGCAGTCCTTCTGTCTCAGCCTCCCAAGTACTGGGATTAGAAGCCTGTGTGTGCTACCATGCCCAGCAAAAGCTTCATTTTAAAACTTTAAGTTTATTTCAGGTAGTGGTGAAGCATGCCTTTCAGCCCAGCACTCAGAAGGCAGGGGTAAATGGATCTCTGAATTTGAGGCCAGCCTGCTTTACAGCTCTAGTTCTAGGTGCATAAAGAAACCCTGTCACAAAAAAGCCTTAAAGATTAAGACCACGAAACTTACTTTATGTGGACCGATTTTTTCAGTTAGCCCTATAGAGGACACAAGGTCCAAATGCTCACAGATTAGCATTAGAGAAACCAGGGATGTTAAGTATACAGGCTTGTCTTCAAGGTAGGGATGTGTATACCCCTTTCTACCTTGAAGGCTGAGAGTGGCTGTTGTTAATAGCCTGATAATCTGTACTGATTGTAGGCTGGCCACACCCAAATCCTTCAGACTATTATGCTTACCCTAAATTCTTCTTCCCTAAACCTTTGTCTTGAGCATTACTTCTTAGTCAATAATAAGCATTCCCCTTATGGGAGATGTCACAAGTACTTTATAATGACTGGTGACCTTTATGCTGTCTAGGTCAGAGACCAAACCAAATCCTCGGCCCTTAAAGTTATAGAATCTGTCTTCATGGTAAAGGTCACATAACTTTGCAAGAGAGTTCTGATGCAGTCATACCTTAAGCTTTTATTGTGGATATGGGATTGAGATAAATGTTACAAGGAAATACTTTTTTCCAAAATTATACTGGACTTAAATATGTCCCAAATAAACTGTCTGGTGTAAGTTTGAACCAGCCTGGCTAACTAATTTATGCTGAACTGAATTTTTTCTTGCCTCTCACAGTTCATTTCTCTGTTGGCTATAGGATTTGCAGGAACACCTCTAATCCCCCTTTTTATAGTAACAACTCTGGATTAACACCACAGTATAATTTTATCTTCTTAAACAGAAGCAGAAGAACCATTAAGGTATTAAATATTTGGTTTTTCCATGTAAAAGAAGATAGAATGTAAAATGGTAAATGTAAAAGTTAGAGTTGGTCTTTATGTAGCACAAACAAATTAAGCATTCAGTCTAATATAGGCAGTGATGGTACATGCTTTAAATCCCAGCATTTGGGAAGCAGAGGTAGGCTGATCTGAGTTGGAGTCCAGTGTGGACTGTAGAGTTCCAGGACAGCCAAGGCTACACAGAGAAACCCTGTCTCAAAGAAAAAGAAAAATAAAAAATGCATAAAAGCAACTAGCTGGTTGTATTTGGATCCTTTATGAGTGCTGCCTTAATGTACGTATCACTCTGTCTTAAAATTGTCTTTATTAATGTGGTGTGCATTTTAAATGATACAGTGTGAGAAGTTATCTTGATGTATAATTAAAATATGTATTCAATTTTATGATGAATTCAGTTACAGTTCTGCAAATATCAGTGCTTGGAAGGCAGAAATGAGAGGATTCAAAGTTGAAGCCTCATTCTCAGCTACATAGTGAATTGAAACCAGCCTGGCTTACACAGGCCTCACAACACACACACACACACACACACGCACACATGCATGCAGCATGTATCTAAATGTGCTAACCATTAAAGTGTCTGTGTTCACTGATTTTTGAAATATTTTACAGACATTTTCAAGTTATTTCAAATATCACCATAAATTACTTTATACCACAGTTTTTTTCTATTTATTCTAGGAACATGTTAATAGAGTTAAGATTATTTGACACAACAAACAATGCTTTTTGTGTAGGAGGAAAAAGCACTATTAAGGCAACTTTTCATATTAAATTTTTCTACATAATATTTGGGAAAGAGGTTTCTATTGGTATTCCAAATGTTCTATGGTTTTGTGCTCATACAAACAAACCTTACAAAGAATATTATCTTTAGTTGTCCAAGAGCTTTAATATTTTTAAAATAATATAAAAATTTGTAGTCATTCTTCACTATGTATTTTTTAATTACATTTATTAGTTTTTGAGACATTAATTCTAATTATTAATATTTTTACAGAGGAGATGAACAATAAAGTATTCAAAATGAATTGTCTTAACTTCTTCAGCATAATTCTAATATCTTAAAAGTTAATTTTAATGACTCATCGTTTGATTTATATATTCATAGTATTAGCCTAGGTTAAGGATTTAAAAGAACACATTCTAATGTTAATGAAAATGTATTTTTGATTATTCCTTTTTATTTGAATTGATAAATTAATTTTTATATGTAAGCATTTCTAGACTTTGGATATATTATAACTTTGCCTTTTTATTTAATTTATTTTTTTATAAATTAGAGTTTATTCACTTTGTATCCCAGCTGTAGCCCTCACCCTCATCCCCTCCCAATCCTATCCTCATCTCCTCCCATGCCCATCCCCAAGTCCACTGATAGGGGAGGTCCTCCTCCCCTTCCCTCTGACCCTAGCCTATCAGGTCTCATCAGGATTGGCTACTTTGTCTTTCTCTGTGGCCTGGTAAGGCTGCTCATCCCTCAGGGGGAGGCTGTCAAACCGAAAGCTAATCAGTTCATGTCAGAGACAGTCCCTGTTCCCTTTACTAGGGAACCCACTTGGACACTCAGCTGCCATGGGCTATATCTGTGCAGGGGTTCTAGGTAATCTCCATGCATGGTCCTTGGTTGGAGTGTCAGTCTCAGAAAAGACCCCTGGGCCCAGATTTTTTTGGTTGTGTTGCTCTTCTTGTGGAGCTCCTGTCCCTTCCAGGTGTTTCTATACAATTTTTTCTAAATTTTTCTAAAATTGGAATTATTAATTCCTATGAGACTTACTCAATTTGAAAATGAAGTAGAATTTTTAGCGTTTACTGTGCACATTTGAGTCTTAGCTACTGAGTTAATTTAGTAACAAGTGTTAAATATAACACTGGAGTAGTTAGGCACACTGTGTGGAATGCCTCCTGGTTCTGTCAGGAGAAAGGGGGACACTTGAGCAAAGTATTGCAAAGATAGTTCAAATAGTGGTCACAACAATGGTTTCTAATGCTATTGAGGTACCTGTTCTTGGTGAAGTCCAGCTTTTGTGCTAAAGATAATCAAAAAAGTTAGTGACTAATTTTCTTCTTGTGTGTCATTTTTCAGGTGGAGGCTTAGCTGTTGGAACACTTCTTCTGATTGGTCAGTATAAAATTATAAAATGTATGCTGTGGTCTTTCTAACCAGTTCTGTTCTGTACGTAATGGTTTAATGAGTCTTTGACTCTGAAATTGAATAGTTAAATGATGACCTCTCCACAGACACAAATCAGATTAGAACTTGTCTAAGTACTTTTTTAGTTCAGATGGGTAGAAAGATCTGATAATGTAGCTCCAAATGTTTAAAAATGTTTACTCTCCACTGCTCCATTTTAAATTTAATTATTTTTAAAAGGAAAAGTCAATTCCTTATTTTGAAAATGAGGAATTTTATTGATTTGAGAAATGGAAGAATTAATGTGTGTACTATATAAGTGTATAGATATGTAATACATTTTACAGATTTTGTTGTTTTATTGAATGAACAATGGCAAAGTAGTCTGTATTTTTGTTCATTTTTAGAGTGACTATAGTTATTAAAATAGACAACCCTATGTGGCATATTTCAGCATATCATAGAATCTTCAAATTGCAGTGAGCCTGATCTATTCCATAATGAATGCATTTCTGTTAATGTTTAACTTATTCACTTGTGACATTATCTGTACCTTCTAGTTTAGTCTTGAGTTGGCCAGCCTACTTTCCTACATGACCCTATTACAATTGAAATAACTATTTTTACACCTCAGGTTTTCCCTAACCAAAATGGAAATCACGTGGTGACCTGGTTGTGAGAGTTAGAATGACTCCTTTTTCTCCATTGTCATCTAGATATACCTCCTAGGATGGCATTTCTCTTTCAGTGCAGAAGTGATAGAGAGTGCACATTTAATATGACCTATATTCAACAAACTGAGGCTATCAAATATAATCTAAACATTAATTAGTACCAGACACCAATAAAAATAAGTTTATGTTAATAGACTTCTTCTAACATAGCAAAGGATTGTTGCAAATGTTTAGTATTTCTTCAAGACTGATTATAATACAAAGTGATGGTCTTTAAATTTTGAGATATATATAGTGTTTATCTAGGGAAGCTGGAAAATTCATAGTTTTACCTATGTCTGCTTAACCACTGAAGGGTAGTGTTAATAGGTGGAGAGTTGTCTGTCTGGCTCTTCCTGTGAGTCATGTATTCTGTAATGCGCTTTATCTGTGTTTCTTCCTTTACTTCTTGTGATCACCTTCTAAACTGTTAAATTCATATTATCTATATTTTATTCATGAAATTAGATTTGAGGGATGAAGCAACTTCCAGTTTTTCACATAGAGAATAAGAATCCCAGTATTAGAATTTTGCTGTGATTCTAGATATGTGAATTTGGTTTGTGAATGAGATGTTTTTAATTTTTAATTGTTTTATTATTTTTGAGAATCTCATACATAAGCATTTTGTATTTACCTCATACTCAATTCTTCCTTTATCGTATATGACTCTTGCAGTGTCTACTCTCTCTTAAATTCATGACGTCTTATTTAATTATTGTTACACATACATGTACATGTGTGTTTATATATGTATTTATATGCACATGCCTTGATATACCTACTGAGTCTGTTCAGTGTTGTTTGCGAGTATATGTGCACGTGTGTTTGTGTGTATGTGGGTATTTTTTAGAACTGATCATTTGGGATTAAATTACCTATCAAGGGGCTTACCCCTGAAGAAGACTGAATCTCTGTCTCTTAGCAGCTATTAATTGTAACTTTTCAATCCAGGGGTGGAGAGTTGTAAATTTCCCTCATCCATATTGGCATAGCAACTGGCAGGTCTTGTTTAGAAAACCACATTGTTGAAACTGCGTGGGTACCAATTTTCTGTTGTACATAAAAGGCACTGTATTTTAAGGGTATAGCAGATGTACTGGTCCTTTGGCTTTTACAGTCTTTCTACACTTTCTTCCGCAATGTTCTCTGAGCCTTAAGTGTAGGGTTGTGTTATACATTTATTAGTTGAGATTGGGCACCTCAAGGTCAGTTTTTCTCTACATTTAACCAATTGTGAGTTTGTGTAGTAGTCTTTATTTGCTCAAAAAACAAACAAACAAACAACTTCTTTGATCAGGGATGAGAGATATTCTTATCTCTAGGTATAAAAATAAGTACTTGGGGACTGGAGAGATGGCTTGGCCGTTAAGAGTGCTGACAGTTCTTTCAGAGGACCCAGGTTCAATTCCTAGCAACCACACAGTGGCTCACATTTATTAACTATGCATGTGGTACACTGACATACATGTAGGCTTAACACACATACATTAAAATAAATAAAATTTAGAAGGCAGTTAGAAATTATAGTGGTTTAGGAAAGTGGCAGCTGTAGATTCTCCTCTAGGATCCATGAGCTCACCAAACATGGCTAGTTGCTAATTAACAGTACTAGGAATGAATTTCCTTCCACTGAGCAGGTTTTGGTCCAGTTAGACAAATGCTGGTCACTTCCGGGATGTAAGTATCACTGCTTCACCCTGGAGGATACCCTGCTGGACTCGTCATTTTTGTGTTTTGTAGGCTGTGCAGCTGGATAGGACTCTTGACTACTTTTCCCCCTTGGCAGGTTGGTTATTAGGAAATAGTAGGAGAGCCAGTCCTCAGAGGGGAAAAGGCTGACTCCTCCAAGTCCTATGTAGAGACTATGTAACATTTTTAGCAATAAGACAATTTCTAGTAGGCAACTACTGGCAAGAGCAGTAGCCTGTATTGTTTTTTGAGCGTTGGGTTAAGTAAAAGATGGACTATCAGGATTTAAGATAACGCAGAGGGACTGGAAAATATGTAAAGAATACAGAAAAAATAAATACATAGAGGGAACAAACAGGAGCTTTGAGACAACAAATCTTTGAATTATAGGTATAGAAGATGAAGCATCCCTGGTCATTAGCAAAGACTAGACCTTCAACAGTATCATAGGAGGAAACTCCAAATTAAGGAAAGATAGACCTATACTGATACATGGAGCACAAAGAACACAAAAAAGACAGGTACAGACAAGAAAATCTTCGCAACATGTTATTGCTAAAAATTGCTGAATATATAGAACAAAGAGAGGCTTTTAAAAGTGACAAGGGAAAAAAAGACAAACAAAAAGCACAAGTCACATGTAAAGTAAAGCCCATCAGAATAACAGCTGATTTTTAGGTAGAAACTTTAAAAGACAGAAGAGCCTGGATCAGTATAGTACAAGTTCTAAAAGACCACAGATGCAAACCTGGACAATTTTCCTGTAACTTTCTTCAGTGCCTTATTTAATAGCTATAAATAGTGGAACAGGAGCTACATCCCTTTGTGAAATAATGAAACACCTGTATATGTGGGTTTTCTATAATGAAGTTTCAAAATTATAAATGTGAAGGATCTTACTGAGTATACAATGAAGGCACAGTTACAGAGTTGTTAAAAAACAAAAACAAAACAAAAAATCCCCACTTATTTTATATGATCAGTGTTTCTCATTAAAGCAGGACATTTTGTTTAAAATGTTAAAATCTTGCCAGGTATATACTTTTAATCCAATCACTCTGGAAGCAGAGGCAGGTAGATTCCTGTGGTTTCGGGGCCAGCCTGATCTACACAGTAAATGTCAGAGCACCCTGGTCTACAAAACAAATTACAGATCAGCCAGAGCTACGTAGTAAGACCTTGTCTCAACAACAACAAAGATATTTCTGTATAGTGTACTACATACATGTGAATACAAATGTGCATGTGGGAAGTTATACCCCTAGGGGGTTGCTGTGAAAACCTGTGTCAGGTGTCCATTTGATCATCCTCCATATTTTTAAGTGTATTTTTGTTTTATGTGTATGGCTGTTTGTTTGGTGGTGGTGGTGTTGTTGCATGTTTGACTGTGGTGCACAATGTGTATGCAGGGTCTGAGGAAGCCAGAAAAGGTTGTCAGATCCTGTGGGACTGGAATTGCAGAAAGTTGAGGGCATAGGGAATCACACCTTTGAAAAGGGAGCAAGGAGTTTTAACCTGTTAGCTATCTCTTTGGCTCCCCTCCACATTATCTTTTGAGATAGAGTCTCTTAACTGAACTTGAAGCTTACCAATTATTTATGTCCCAATTATTTATCTCTGTCCTATACCTAAACCCACAGAAGTAGGGTTACAGAAGAATATCACTATACCTGGCTTTTGTGTAGGTGCTAAGAATCCCAACCCAGATCTCCCTACACATGTGGCTGGCACTCTATCCTCTGAGCCCTCTCCAGTCATTATGTGAGTTTTGTAAACCATTTTCTCAAGAACTAGATTATTCGTTATTTATCAAGGCAGTTTTATCTGTGACATATACCTGTTCACAAGTGTGGCTTTTCAGAGAAGTTTATTTATAGTTTCAGATGTAGTGTAACTATGGAAACTAGAGCTAGTGAATGTTACTACCAAATCCCAGAAAAGGTCTGTGCTTTCAGAATATTGTAAAGTAGCTAAATAGGAATGTACAAAAGGTCATCCTATGAGGAATAAATAACTTCTCAAAGGTAAACATTTCTTAATATGAACTTGATTCTTTATAACTTTTGTTATTAGGTATTCCATTTCTGTTAAAACAACTGAGAAAATTAACTAATAGGAAGAAAGCTTTGTTTTGTATCATAATTTCAGTGGGTTCAGTGTGAAAACAACTAACTCTTTTGATGTGGGCCTGAAGTGAGGTGGAATACATGGCAGTGAGAGTGTACAGTAGAGAAGCTTGTTCATCCCACTGGGACCAGGAAATGGAAAGGAAGAGTCACAGCACAATATGTCCTGCACACACAGTGACCTGCAGGCTCCACGTCTTGAGTTTTTACCACCTCCCAATAGTCCTTTCAACTGTGGATCTGTCTGTGGAGTAATATGTTAACGATGCCAGAATTGTCATTATTTAATTGCCCTCCAAAGGCTTCATCTATGAACACTGCTACATTTAAGACCAAGCCTATGTATGATATGTGACATTTGAGGAAATGTTTCAAGCCAAAACCATAACGATACTGAAATAGGTTTTGAGATGTTTTGTATTGAAATCTTGTTTTTGAGCATTTGTTACTCAGGTAA